AAGAATTACGCCACCATTGATCGGTAGGCTTCGGCGATCATGTTCGCTAAGAGAAGTGTCATCAATATATTTATGGAAGACATTTTATTTTTGTTACGGATTATAAACCTTTAAAATATATCTTAGGTGATAAAAAAGACCTAAATAAAATAACAAATAACAGTTCAATACGATGGGCGACGAAGCAAATTAATTACGACTATGAGATAATTCATAGACCTGGTAATCAAAACAAGTGTGCTGACGCTCTGTCCCGTTTGGGGGTAGAGAGAGAAAAAACCAATGAAGTTACAAAAAAATTCGAAAATTAAATCAGAAAAAAAATTAATTTAATAGAAGATTTATCTTTCACTCGCAGTAAAGTTGTAAGCGAAACGAGTAATGATATCATTCTGAAAGAAATTATTAAATTATCGGTATATTGATAATATAAATAATTATTCGGAGATTTTAAAAAAATCTATTTTAATTAAAGATAATATTTCAATCGAAGAAGGATTATTTTTTTTATAATGATAGGATAATTATTCCCGATAATCTAAAGAAGGAGGTTTTGAATGTTATTCAAAGACATCCTGGGATAGTAGGGATGAAATCATTATGAAGATACTATGTTTTTTGGACAAATCTTGATCGTGATGTTGAAGATTTCGTTAAATGCTGCATGTCAGGACGGAATGCCGGGAGCCAGAGAAGTGCCGTTATACAATTGGAACATTCCTACACGATCTTGGGAACAAATATACATTAATTTGACAGGCCCCGTATCTGGAAAGTAGTGGTCAATTTGCGTAGACGCTTTTACCAAATTGGTTGAAGCTGCAATTTTAACACATATTAATTCGGCGAGTGTAATAAATAATCTGCGTAATTAATTCGCTAGATTTGGGTTACCTCGCTACATTGTCTCAGATAACGATACTCAGTTTACTGGATTCTGAATTCAAAATATTTCTTTTTAAAAACAACATAAAACATTTTAGATCGGACCCTTATAGCCCCAAATCAAATGGTTTGGTTGAGAGTTATATACGTATGATAAAGAGGCTGTTTCTATGCTGAAAGTAGGGGTGGGACTTCAGACAATTTAAATTTAACGAATGTTTAAATTACTCACCGAAATACTCCAAATGCAACTATCGGTTAATCACCTGCCGAAATGATGTTTGGAAAGCCACTCAGGAGCACGTTAGATCGATAGAAATTATCTATGAGGGAAAGTAATGAAAACGCATTATGGAAACAAAAATATAATAAAGTAGGAAGGTTAAGCTCCGTGAATTTAAAGAGAAGCAAAGGATTTGGGTAGAACACGAAAGGACTGCGGAATGGCATGAAGGGAAAGTGGTTAAACAAAAAAGTGCGATATTGTATGATGTTGAGTCAGATGGTATTGTAAAAAACAATCATGACGACCAACTGAGGGATGCTCATGTACAAGCTAAGGAAATACCCATAACAATGATTGAAGTTTTGGACAATGCAGAACATAATGGAAATACAACTCTCAAAAAAGAGTTTCGAAACTCCCTTTTGCTTGGACTTCGGCCAGGCTCCCTTAAATGGCTTTTTCAAATTACATGATTTATATAATTTCTTATTTTGGAAATAAGTTCAAACGTTTTACATTTAAAATAAAAAAAAATAATAGTATGACACGATAATCATATATATTTTATATTAGATTTACAATGATATTGCACTAGAAAATCAAATCATACATCACATGTTAAATATAAATTAATACATACTCAATATATAAAATCAAATAATTACACATAAAATTATTGCAATTATACAATATTGCATAAAGAATAAAATTTCTGCACTTATAAAATCAGGAATCGATCATATTGTAAATAGATAAAGAATTAAGAAAATATATAATTTTTACATTAGCCAAAAATAAATTAGTGTATACACTTGTGTGCATATTGTATTTTTTAAGAATTTCATACACGCATATTAAACACTTGTTACATTTATTATCAAATTCTAAGTAATAATCATTGTTGTATCTGTTTATATATAATTGACATTTATGGAGGTTTTTCAATTGATTTCGAATATGAGATATATAACATTTTATTATCTTTGTTCTTTTTAGATCATGTGACAATATGATAATAGTTATATATTTATGAAATAAAAAATTATTTGAGAACTATTAGGATCAAGGAGAAATTCCCTTCCCCCAACATAAATTTATCACTTTTTGTGAATATCATTTTAAGCTAATAAAAAATATCCCCCTTAGTCTCCCCTCTACTCCCTGACCCCCAAAAATGTATGCATATATCTTAAACAATAATTTGAAAGAAAGAATGTAAAAGTTTATATTTTTTTATAAAACTATTCATCATAATTTATACATTTTTGGAAAAAAGCATTTGTATATAAAAAAAGTGAACCAAAAATGTTTTTTAAGAAATGGAATATAAGCCAAAGATAAGTCTTAAGACAAAAGTGAAATGTATTATAACTATTAATAATAGATCCATAAAATTACTAAATAATATAATATATCAAATATAATTTTTTATAAAGTGAGTAATTTTAATTTATTTATCTTAATAAAAGTAAAATTTATAAAACTATTGATAAAATTAAATCATAAATTAAATAAAAAAATTAAAGCACAATACAAACAGTGATATGTCATAGATTTACAGTATATCTAATTTTATCAATTATGACAATCAAGTAATTTTTACCAATATAACGAATTATATATTTTACAGAAAACTATAAAATATTGATAAGGACATCAGCAAGATCTTTTAAAGATATTGTGGGATGAATAATATGAAGATTAATTATTAATATCATTTTTTTATTTATAATAAATAGATGGCGTTAAATAATTGAATGCAAATTGTTGCTATATTTATTATCAAGAGCATTGATAAGTAAAATTTGTTAAAATATTAACTGTAATATATTCTCTAACTGTCAAATATGTTTATAAAAGTGGAATTTTACCTAGTATTTTGTAACTAATTCTATATAATAGAGAAATATCAACTATATGTCTACTTACTTTTTATAAATAAATTTCTTAAACTTGTCTGATAAATTATTACCATGCTTTTATATTAATGTATATCAGGGACGAAGCGTCCATAGAAGCAAGGGAAGCATTGCCCTTAAAATTTTTTTTACAAAATTCTTAGATAAACTTAATATAATCTTTATACTATGCTAAAAAAAATAAAATTACTTCCTTAAAATAATTAATATATTTTTTATAACGTTAAAAAGATTTATAATATTTTACTACGATAAAAAATTTACTTTATTTGAATATTTACTGATATGATGTCAAAATATATTAGCAAATAATTAATTTTTTAAAAAGGTAAAATAAATAAAGGTGAAAAATTGTAGAAATATAATTTACGGGAAAGGATAGGGGATAAAAAATGAAGCTTGGAAAATGGAAGGTTATTCAATGGAAGAGATGAAGCTTAGATAGTTGGAACGAATGATGGCGGTAGCAAGTCTTTGGCGTAAGAAGAGGGATTCCTTTGGCTGGTCGGTTTTTTCGCGGATCCATTTGCCTAAATCTTTGAAAAAACGTTGAGCCTTGCTACCGAAGGTGGTGAGAATGGTGCAGGCGATGGGTATGAATAAGAAAGAAGAGTCTAAGGAACTGTATTTTATGGTTTTGCGGGATTCAGCGAGGGCGAGGGCATCGACGTTATGGTTAGAAGGTGCATTTGGGTCAATGCAGGTGAAGTCCCAAACCAGGAGCTGACCCCTTGACCAGGGGATCAAGGACATTCCATCAGGACGGTTTCCGTCGGTTCTAAAAATTTCGGTTGGTTCTAGTCTAGATGGAATGCCTCCTGATTTGAGGGCGCGTAAAATGATGTCGTTGCATTTGGTGTGCCGTGAAAAGCGGCCACGACAAAAGCGACAATGGAGGCAGTGCCTACCCTTGCTGTCAACGCTGGTTTCGCAATGTTTGCATTGGTACGGAAGAACAATTTCGCAATTGAGCCGTAGTCCAATATCAAATCTTAGCTCGTCAGCAGTGAGCAACAAATCGAGGTTGTTGGAGGGTATGGTTTCCAGAAACTCGTGACCAGATCCTTGGTTCAATTGGTGAAAAACGCATTCCGTGGTGATGATGAATCACCTAATTCAGTAAATAGAGGAAATTATATTGAATTAATTTATTTGCTGGTGGAAGAAAATTTACTATTATTCAAATAAAGTATCCCATGACCGGAAAAAAAAAATTTACTTTAAAAAATTTACTATTATTTTTACTACGTTCAAAAATTTACTATTATTTTTACTACGTAAAAAAATTTACTATTATATTTAGATTTACTATGTTAAAAAATGATGGAAGCAAATTTAATATTGCTTATTTTCCAATAATAAATATACTAATAAATCATGATTCATACGATATTTTTTTGGTGTAATTTTTTTATTACGTTAAAAAAAATATACAAGAGGGAAGCAAATCTAATATTGCTTATTTTTTCAATAAATAAATAGAAAATCATGTTATGATATTGTTTAATTTTACGATTAAAAAATAAGCATTGGGGAAGCAAATAAAAAATTGCTTATTCTTTTATAAAAGAAAAATAAATTTTTTTTTCTTACTTCTTTTTTAAAAAAAATTTTTTTTCTTTAAATTAATGTTTAATAATTGTAATTGTATTATTGAAAATTTATTAATATTATCATTTAGCTCAAGAAATTTTGATACCAAAAAATTAATTATTGAAAAAGGAAGACCAAACCCAATTTTAAGAAATTTAAAAAAAGAAATAAAATCTTGCATTCGTAATTTTTCTATCGATAAATATGATAAATATGAATGGCTCACTGGATGTGAATTTTCTAATTCTCTATATTGTTGGTCATGCTTATTATTCCCAAAGGAAAAATATGTTTGGAATGATAGAGGATTTTCGGATATGAATAATTTTTCAAAGGCAGTTAAACGACATGAAGAATCAACCGCTCATTTGCGGTCGATGATTCAATTAAAAACATTTGGCGAAATTCGTATTGAAAATATGATAGATTCGATGCACAAAATATCAATTGAACAGCATAATTCGAAGGTCAAATCAAATAGAGAAATATTGAAAATTTTAATCACTTCCATATGTTTCCTTGGAATTCAGGAGCTCGCATTCCGTGGTGATGATGAATCACCTAATTCAGTAAATAGAGGAAATTATATTGAATTAATTTATTTGCTGGTGGAAGAAAATTTACTATTGAAACATCATTTAGAAAATAGTACAGTTTTTATTGGACTATCAAGCGATATTCAAAATGATTTAATAAATTCCATTTCATATGTCTTACACCAAAAAATATTAGATGAATTGGAAGAAACGGAATTTATAACAATGATATTAGATGAAACAATTGATATAAATAATAAATCCTAACTGGCTGTAGTTCTTCGATATGTTTTAAATAACGGGACATTATATGAAAGATTTATTGAATTCTTTGATGTTACAATGCATCGTGATGCTAATTCTTTATCAAAATTTGTCATTAAATTTTTGAATGATAAGAAAATTATGAAAAAATTGATAGGTCAAAGTTACGATGGCGCAGCTGTTATGTCAGGTGATTCACATGGACTGCAAGCAAAAATCAGAGACGTCAATCCTTCTGCACTTTATATTCATTGTTTTGCCCACAAGTTAAATCTTATATTATCAAAATCTTGCAGCAAAATTAAAGAATGTAAGGTTTTTTTGCAACTTTATCTGGTTTAGCCAGTTTTTTTAGTACATCATCTAAGCGTACAGCAGAATTTGATAAATATGTTAAAAAAAGATTACCACGAGTAGCCCCAACAAGATGGGAATACAATGGTCGGCTGGTTTAGACAGTTTTCAATTATTTGAAGGATCTAGTCGTTTTTTTTGAAAGTATGATTGATGAAGAATCTGATATTGTTTGGGATAATGATGTTCTAATAACATCTCGTGGCTTTTTAAATATATTAAATGATGCAAATTTTCTAACTTTGTTATATTTTTTTCAAGAAGTTTTTCCAGAATCTGATTTATTATTTGATATACTTCAAACTAAAATTAACGATGTATCATATTGTCTTAAAAGTATTAACGATTTCAGAAATTCAGTTAAATCTAACATAGAAAACTTTGATGTTTTTTGGAGAAATTTAAATGTAAAGGAAAATTTTGAAGACAATTTAGATAAAAAACTTAATAGATCCGGATTGCCTAATACAAGAGAATTTTATAAAAATTTGATAATTAAAATAATAGATACTATAATCAATGAAATTGATTTTCGGTTTGATACATTAAAAAATATCAAATTCGTCGAATTGTTAGATATTAGTAAATTTCAAATATTTAATCAAAATTTCCTAAAATATTTATTAGACAATTTAAATGACACTAATTTTCGACTTACACAAGCTGGAACCCGAATTAAAAGTAGTGTTTCGTGACGATGAATTTTGAAAGAGAAAAAATGTTTATGAAATACTTGAATTTTTAATTAATATCGATTTGATGAAAAGTTTTAAAGAGTTTTTAAAATATGCAAATTCATTTTAACTTTGGCTGCAACAACAGCAAGTGCAGAACGGTGGTTTTCATCTTTAAAAATAATCAAATCTTAATGTAGAAACAGAATGAGTCAAAATCGATTATCGAATCTAGCTTTGATTTCTATTGAAAAAAAATTATTGAAAAATTTAAAATCTAGTAATAACTTTTATAATTTCAGTACTTGATCATTTTACTCAAAAACAAAGATGAATTCCGCTTATTTATAAATCTTAATTTTTTATGGTTTGACTAATAAATAAAAAAATTTTTTGATTGCTTCCCTAGTAGTAAACTTGACACCTCGTCACTGATGCATATACCAAGTAATTTATTATATTTTATATAAACTAATAAAAATATATTATTTCATATTTGTTCCAGGCTTATTTTTTTTTATTAAAATTAACCTTCTATATTGTAAAAATATTTTATGACTATATATAGACTAAGGTAATCCGGCCGAAGGCCGGGCAAAAGTGGGCCAAAGGTCCGCCCAAAATGGAGTCTGGGGGAGAAGCCCCAGTAATTAATTCCCCCCTCCCTTAGGAAAATCCTGGCCACGCATATGCATTACGAGTTGTAATTTATAAGATATATATTTATATAATAATGGTATATATATGATAATTGTGCTGTGACAACGTAAAGACATTTGGGAAAAATTTGACATAATGTAAGTAATTAGCCATATACAATCATGGAACATTAGGAATAAAATATAAAAAAGAGATTTGAAAACAAAGGTAAAACAAAATTATATTTGTATGCAATCTATAAAATTATAAATAAGAAAGTATAGAAAAATTGGAATAGATGGAAGGGAAAAAGGGAAGAGAGGAAAAAAGAGAAATTTAAATGGAATATGTTTTGTAAAGAATTTGGTAGGGGTTAAAATGTTTTAATATTTATAAGTTAAAATTTTGGATATATAAATGAGTAATATTTTATATAGATTAATATTTTATATAGATTAATATTTTATATTTTTTAATATTTTATATATATTAATAGTTTACATATAGTTGAAAGAATTATAAAAGTAAAGTTAATGTAAAATTTTAAAATAGGATTGGGTGAAATTCAATAAGCGTGTTTATTTTAAATAAGTTAAAATTAATAGTTAAATTTTGAGGAAATATAATAAAAAGTAAAGTATGGGTTTAAAAGGTTTTCAATTGTCTTAAAAATTAAAATAAGTGATAAAAAGTAAAACATGGGTTTAAAAGAGTTTATTTTAAGGTTTATTTTAGAATTTGGTGATATATAAATGGATTATGTATTGTGATAAAAGTTTACATTTAAAATTTTTTTTGGGAACCATTGGATATGGTATATATTACTATCCTATCTTATCTAGCACGATAAAATATTTTAAAAATTTTTTGGAACCATTGGATGGTTGGGGTAATAATAATTTCTGTACCATGGGATATGTTAGGAGTAATAATAATTTTTGTGTTATACAGTGTTTTGATAATAAGTTTTATTTAGTATTATTCTGTAAACCATAAGACTAGCGTTACAGGTATCCCGTCATATAATTTAAGTACTCACGATATGCAGGACAGAAAAGATTGCTTAATATTTAAATTTTGGGATTATAATTAGCATGAATAAATTATTTTGAAATATTATGCGAAAATAAATGGATTGTGATATTGATATTTTAAAAAAATGGTGAAATGAAAATTATGGATATGAAACATTTTGCTAATGTTTAAAAAAAATGATATGAAAATTATGGATATGAAACATTTTGTTAGTGTTTGAAAAAGAAATAAAAAGAAAGAAATATAATGTTGTTTATAAAAAAAAGATTGATAAAGAAAAATTATGTGATGAAATAGAAATATGCAAATTCTAGATATGAAAGTTAGATGTTAAACATATGCTAAAGATGAATTGAAAGTCAAGAATGGGTCATAAATAGTTCAAGTTTTTAAAAAGTATAATATTAAAGTTTATATATATACATGTGTAATATTGTATATATCTAAAGACAAATTAATAAAAATATTTTGATTTTATATGTATAAATGTGGATTTATATATATGTAAAGGATAATAATGGAGGGAGCCAATAGATAATATTAGAATATTATTATGTTTAAAAATTTTGAATAAAAGTTTATATATATATGCGTAATATTGTATATATGTAAAGGTAAATTAATAGGAATATTTATAATTTTATAGGTATAAATGTAGATTTATATATTTAAAGGATAATAATGGAGGGAGCCATTAGGTAATATTAGAATATTTTTGATTTTAAAATTTTGGAGGTTATATAAAGGAAGAAAATTGGTCATTAGATGTTATTTTAGATTAAAAGGTCTACAATGATTCTGGATTAATAGTACCAATAAGATAGAATAATATGGCTGACCAATGATGCAATGAATCAATCAAGCTATGACTTACTAACCATTAAGATTTAATGACAATCAGCAGTACAATATCAATCCAGCTATGACCCGAATGTCGTTAGTGATGATCAACAGTTCAATGAAAGTTATGTATGGTTAAAAAAAATATGCAACTTCCTGAAACAGAAAAAAGAAAATTTAATGAAAATAAATGATAATAATTTTTATATTTCTTTTTGATCATTTATTAGAATTTATGTAGTCATTTTTTTGATTATATATATATATATGCGTAAATTGTATTTCTTCACCCCAGTTTGATTTCTCAAGAAAGGGGGGCGTTTTGTATCTGTTGATATATAATTGACATTTAATTGATTTCAATAAGAGATATATAACATTTTTTTATCTTTATTCTTTTTAGATCATGTGACAATAGGATTAGCTATATATTTATGAAAATATAAGTTGTTTGGGAACCATTAGGAGTTGTGTTATAAGATATATATATATTTCTATAATAATGGTATACATACATATATGATAATCATATTGTAATATTCCATCTTCTTCATTTGACTCCTCACTTTTCATACGATATCATATTCCTTTTCATTTAATTCTGCTATTCAATCGTTGAATATACTGGCAAATGAACACAATTCGTTACGTAATTTAACACTCAATATATTTGCCAATTGTGCCAGTTTTTCCAAGGTCTTTTCAGAAATACCTTTACTATTTATTTTATCAAAATGCCTTGGATGCAAATATTACACATTCAAAATAAGCTCGCTATTCGCAGAAAACCGTTCTGACAAGCTATTTATAATTTGATCAATTATAAGACGAAATACTTCGACCCTATAAAGGTCAATTGATTCTTAAGGAAGTTCATTTTGGCCTTCGTCACTGTATACTCTCTTCGCTCGTCCTATTATTTTTTGGCAGAGCATTCTGTACCCAGATAATCTACGAGAGCTTTACATATGAAAGTGTTTCATTTAAATTAGAATTTTTATTACTTTATTTTGAATCGATGTAATAGTTATCGATGATACAGAAGACTTAGCATCTTCTATCATTTTCCATGTTGACAAAATATCTAAATTTTTAGTTTAAAGATATAATGAAAGTGGCCCCATTATTTCAAAAATTTCCAAATATATTATAGCTTTACTTAGAGTCTTAAATTTATATAAATTATCAATCAAAGACTGCGCTTCTGATGAGGTTTTTGCCTCAAATGAATTTACCTATTATAAATGAGCAAACTCGCTTTACCATATATCCACCTAAAGGTTTTTTCAGGTGCCCATCACCTTGGCTCACCTATTTTTTGCAGCCTTCTCAACTTATTTTGGCTATATGAATTATTCTGCTTCACCCTAGCAAAGAAAGTTGCTAGTCTTTCAATAATACAAATAAATTTCTGCCTTCAATATTATGGCATGAATCACATATACAGAGATTTAATATGTG